CCAGAGCCAGGACCTTTTTTATCAAGGACCAGTATACGGAAGTATTCCAGTAATATGATTAGTGTGAAATACACTATCTGGACGGCCCTGATATTACTGATATATTTTGGAGTTTAAATTTGTACTGAAAAATAGATACTTTTGTGATTTCGCTCGTGAGCCCTTGAGTTCTGAAACAATACACGATTTTTATTGTATATTTACGAAATGGAGTATTGTGATAGCGACATTATTATCAGTGATCGATTGATCGGCTTCTCTGCGATTTTTTGCTTGAGTCCTTACATTAACAAAAATTTATCAGTTTCTTATGCGTTTTGTTTTGTTTTTTATTCGTTTGAAATTATCATTAAATCATCCCATTTACATGTATTTCCGTGCAATTTACCCAAGTCATCAACTATTATTTGTGAAAAAATTGAGTGAATTTCTTACGATTTGCTAAGTTTAAAGTTTATGCTATTCCATTTAAAGCTAAAGTTCCTACGCTTATTATGCTGTGATTTTTGCTCCTGTAAATTTTTCGCTTCTTTCGCTTTCCTTAATTTGAAGCTGTGATAAGTCATTTGCGGTGAACCTGTGAAACATGTCTGTTTGGAATTTACAATTGGATTTTTCGAAGTTATATTTCTGGAAGCAAAGTCTGGAATTTAAATTTGCACTCATCAAAATTAAATTTCTGAAATCAAAATTGACATAATTCGGGTAGAAACGGCAAAATCTCGACCTGTTGCGCAAATCTGGAAGAGTTTCTTAACGGTGCAATACATTTATTCATCAAACAAGGTATATGTATGTCATTCGTTCGATTTAAAAAAAAAAAATAACAGAATTTCGGCTGACCAGTTGTCTTCGGAATTCCAGCCAGCATCCTCAGTTTCGGATTATATTTTGTGTTCTTTTTTTTTGTATATGATTATGTGCGGAAAATTTTTTTTTTGTTGGTTTTTTTTTTGGTGCACAGTTCGTTGACGAAACGAAATAAATGTGTGTTGATTGCGCTCTGAGTGACGAACACGTACTCTTTCATGCTTGGTTCAAAACCACAAAACTTTTACACGTTCTGGTGCTATGTGTCAGTTTTTCCAGGAACACGTGACGCCAGTTGGGTGGTCACTTTAGAGACTTGGGGACTTCGTTTTGGCTACTTAGCTTTAAAGAAGAACACGGGAGCCGGGAATGAGAGATCTGGCTGAGTAACACGTATAGATATGGTCTTCAGTTCAAGGCTGCCGGAGTAAAAACAATGTTTTCGGCAAAAATGAATTTTTTGGAAAATTGCTTTTTATGCGTTTTGTGCTGTGTAACAGCAGTACAAGACGCATATTGTCACGGGTTTGTGTGTATGTGCGTGTTTATAGTGTGTGTGTTCGCAGCAAATTGTCCGCAACTTTCAAATCGGGAACCACAAAAGCTAGGAAGCTGAAAATTTAAGAGAACGTCTCCCACCCACTTGCGACCCCGCAAATTTAAACTCAGCCTCCCCGTACCCACGGGTAACACGGACGGCCCGGTAAAGGTCTAAGCGGGTAAAATTATTGTCGTGGGAAACACGGAAGCTAGAAGGCTGAAATTCTGTGGGCATGTCCCTCGTCCATGTGCTACCCAGGAAATTTAAATTCAGCTTTCTCCTGCGCGCGGGTGACTTGTACGGCGCCATGAGAGTTTTTGACGGGTAAATTATTATCTCGGGAACAATAAAGTCTAGGAAGCTGAAATTTTAGGGCTGTGATTCCCCTGTCCACGGACGACCTTGCAAGTTCAAATTTAGCGTTCCCACGATCTCGGGTATCACCTACGGGCCAGTGAAAATTTTTGCGGGTAAATTATTGTCTCGGAAACCACATTTCTACGATGCTGAAGTTTTAGAATAATGACTCTTTGCCCACGTACGACCTTACAATCTCAAATTCAGCGTCCCCTCGGTCTCGGGTATCACTTAGGGCCTCATGGTAATTGTGGCGAATAAACTGTTATCTCGGGGATCACGGAAGGATATTTACCCTTCAACGTTTCAAATTCAGCCTTCATGCACCAGTGCGTGAAATTTTTAACTGTTTTCCAATGTTTGAACTATTTTCGCATAGACTGAAGTACAAAGCAGTGAAAATCATTAACAGGCAATCATTCGATGGGCTGAATTGAATTGCACAAAACGTATGATCGCACCGGCTAGTCTGGTGCGCGTTGCTATTTATTTTGTCTTTCTCTGTTCTGGATTATTAATCTGCGCTTCCAAATCCAGTATGGTCCACAATCTTGTGTGTGCGTTTTTTACGCATGTATTTTACTCATTAGGGTACTGATCGGCCTATTGACCTTGACTATTTTGCTTTTTCACAGTGGTGATTCTTTTATTGGGGAGTGGGGATACTAGGAATTTCCTGGGGATGAAATGGATGGTGGTAAGGGTAGGGGGCTCGTAGACATAGATTTCTGGAATGACCAGGTATCGCTGAACAAATTAATAAATTCGGTAATCAACAGCTACGTGGAACAGGCAATAACTGTATTTGATATGGCGATGCTGAAGAGGCAAAAATGAAGGCTGGGTTATTCTGCAGGCTCCGTGAGGATGTGAGGGAAGAGGGCCTGAAAGGACAGAATAAGCGAACAGTGAGGGGAGAGGGATGGGAGATAAAACTATAATGGTTTCCAGGATCCTAAATTGATTTTTAGAAATTTGCATTAAAGGCAAATCTGTTTCTAATGCGTTTTGCGAATCTTCTCAGGACCGGTGGTGTTTGTCCATTCTCCAAGTGTTTGTAGTTCTGGCTCTCCCCGGGTGCCCCCGTTTGGTTGTGGTTCCAGGAATGTACCTCAGTGTTTGTAAGAGATTAATAATATAACTCCAGAGAGGGCTTAGAAAAAGAGTGCAGATCACAGTTACCTTTGTACGAAAACGGTTTATGAAGATGGATTTGTGGTTGGCACATTTTCAGTTCTTTTGTATTTTCAGTTCACGTCCTATCGGTTTTGCGGTTTTCGCGCTCAAAATGGTTGTACATTATTGCAACTCAGATGGCGAATTCCAATCAACTCTGGCCACTGCCGGCACAAAACCCGTCATTGTTGACTTTTTTGCAATTTGGTAAGCGCCCTCAAATATTAGTATGTGATGCCACGCTCGAAATTACCACCTTTTTGTAACTCATACTTGTACACAATAGTTTAACACTCACAAGCCGGGTTTTTTTGATTTTAAGCTGTTACTCTTGAATTGAAATTGACGTTAGAAAAACGCAATTTTGATGAAAAACTTGCAAATTTTTCGTTGTTTTATTAAATAAGTTTAAAAAGAAAGTGTGGTTGATTTGCAGTGCTATTTTAAATTCTGTAATTTTGATCGTGAATCTTTTATAAGTGTGACAAATGATTTTTGGCTAAATTTTTTACTTCTTAGCTCAGTTTTTTATTCTTTAATACATTCGATTTCGCTGTCCCCTCTTAATTCGCGCAGAATTGACCACAGCCTCTTTGCACCCCACTGAACTGTGAATTTTATAAGTGGAGGTTTTTAAACAATTTCCAAGGCACTGATTACTTTTTTTTTCAAAATTGGCATCTGCGCTTTGTTATTTTACAGGTGCGGACCATGTCAACGAATAGCCCCAGTATTTGACCAGCTTTCCAACAAATATCTGAATGTTGTCTTTGTAAAAGTGGACGTCGATAAAGCAAAAGATCTGGCAACACAGCAAGGCATCACTGCAATGCCGACGTTTTATGTATATTTGAACAGGCAATTGTTACTTTTTGAGGGATG